ATACATTTCACTGTCATGTAGAACTAAAAAAAAAAATAAAATAAAATAAAACCAAATAAATTTAAAAGGGCAGGTAGACATAGTAGATTGATTTAATAAATTGATTTAACATGAAAAAAAATGAAAGACTGGAGACAAACAGCACAAGATTCCATCATGCTTGAGGCCACAGAATCATCAATTGAGAAGACCAGGGATGGGGATGCACAGTGTGTCCCCCACATCCATACCCACAATTCATCAGGATAGTGCTTTTTTTGTATCAGCACAGGGACACCGTGGCTAAAGAGGGACAGCTAAGAACTGATCAAAGGATTGACTATAAAACATAGGAAATCCTAAAAGAACAGTTGAATCAATTTTGTCCTTACCTTTAGAAAGTAAACAAATGAGCCCTTTAAATCATAGAAAGGTCAACCACTAAAAAAAAGGGGGGGTATATATTTCTTCCATCATTTAGGTAAAACAACCTACCCACAATACTTCTGGATACTCCAATGTATGAAAAAAGATAACAAGAGATGTGTGACTCACAATATACAATCCTTCATTTCAAGGCAACCACAGAGGAGCTGGGGAGACACAATGACTAGTTTGTACTGCTCACTGTGGTGGATGCTTCATAAATAGTCTTTTATTATTAATCTACACATTAAAGCTACAACCTGTTCATTATTATCCAAAGTTTTAAAATGATGAACTAGACTCATACAGGATAAAAAACTTGGTCAGGGTCACAAAATAGGAATATCAAAGCTAAAATTTGAAATCAAATCTTGTTGCTACAGCATTTACACCTTGTATTTTACCCTACCCAAATGATTCTCAATGAGAGGGAATTTAGCTCCCCAGGGAACATTTGACAAAATTCAGAGGTATCCAGGGTATAGACATCAGGGACGCTGCTATATACCCTGCAATGTACAGGACAGGCCTCCCCAGCTAAGAATTATACAGTCCAAAATGTCAATAGTGCCAGGATTGAGAAGACTTAGAAATAAGGTAAAGGACTCAGTGTGGGCTGTAGGTGTCCCAGGGAGGGAAGAAATAACACTGTTACCTGGGGTAGTAAGAGGCGTTTGTCACAGAGGATTTTGATTAAGCCTTAGGAATGTGTATAGAAAACAAAAAGGATGGTACTTTCAGCAGCTTAGAACAAGAGAAATAAAAATACAGAGATAATAAATAGCAACATGTGCCCAGTGTGGGGGCTCATGCCTGAATCCCAGCAGCTTGAGAGGCTGAGGTGAGGCAGGAAGATCATGAATTCAAAGCTAGCCTCTGCAATTTAGCGAAGACCTACACAAGTGAGACCCTACAAAATAGGGCTGGGGATGTGGATCAGTGGTTGAGTGCCCCCGAGTTCAATCCCCAGTAAAAAAAAAAGCAAGATATATTAAGAGGTCAAGATGATCATCATTAAGTACTTTTCATAAACTAACTACAAAATGAAACAAGCAAAAACATGAATAAAAATTCTGCTGGGACATCTTTGAATATTCATAAGCTCCAGGAAGGAAACTGTGTACCTGAAAGATATAAATTACAGTTTGTGAGAGAAAATATGAGATGACACCAGATGGCAGAGAACCTTTAAACAGGTTCTCTGGAAAAAATGGTTCAACTTCTATTCAACACAGGCCTGGTAAAATTCCAAACATATAATATACTGCTTGGCAAAAAATGGTGAACACTTGAGCTCTGGCACCGGACTCTCTGGGTTTCCATTTCTGCTACCTGCTACTTTTTAAATAACATCCCAACTAGGGACAAATTACTTTGCCTTTCTATGCTTGTTTACTTGTCCATAAAATCAGGAAAATAACACCTATTTTGAGCACTATTGTGAGGATTTAGTAAATTAAATCACATCAAGTACTCACAACTATGCCTAGCACATACTAAGAAATGAATAAATATTTGCTAATATTAATAGTAGAGTCTCTTTACATCTTCACAATAATCTGAGGAGGAAGGTATCATTATTACTGAATTATTCCCACTTTATTCACCAAATTTCAGCTTGAGGGGCATTGTGGACAAAGTTCTTTGGCTCAAGTGGGATATATCTGACTCCAAATCCAAGCTATTAATCACTATATACTGCTTCATAAGTTTGAACAAACTTTAGGCAATGGAAGCCACGAAAGGTTTACAATTGGGGAATATACACTATTAAAGCAAGGCTTGCTTTTCAGAAGGTCCTGGCAATGGAAAGGAAAACAATCTAGAACAAGATGGGCTGTATGCTGGGAGAGCAGAGGCCTACAAAAGGTATTTGCAGGAGGTGATAAATTTTCACTGATGATGATGGCACTGAAAATACAAAGAACATCAAAAGTAAAAGGCATGAGCACAGCAGAGTTCAATGGCTGTGTACCTGGTGATGCAATGCCAATTGACAGAGAACAAGGGTAACTGAAAGATAGTCAGAAACACCTGACTTCTAAGGTAAAAAAGGTTAATAGTGAAAGAATATTAAGAAATTGCCCTAACTTGCCTTTTTCTGAGAAATTAAAAAACAAACAAACAAAAAAAACTCTTGAGGTTCATCAATAAAGGATCTTCCTACTACTACCAGGAGTCAGAAATACTGAAAACAGAAGCTGAATTGGGGTAACGAAGGGAAACACAGATATTTAGAGTACTAACAAAGAGATGTAACAATTCTAAGTAAGCTTTAAGAAAAAAAAAATCCAGATTCCATAATATTTTTCTTAAATAAAGATGGGTTCACACATACCCTAAAACAGATGAATTCCATTAATAAGGCATATAGAACAAAGTGAAATCTATGTGACAAAATCAAAATTTTTCTGGATCAATGACAAACACCACAATAGCTCTTCCTCAGTTGCTACAAAGATAAGGACATGTGAGATCGGTGAGGATAACAGTCATTAAATCAACTGTTTATACAGCAATTATACACAAAAGTTCCATGAAACTCACAGAACTTTATCTATAGACTTACAGACTTCTTCACTTGCTAAGAATGACCAGATTTTGCTTTCCCATTCTGGTATATAAAATGAACACCAATGATTCACCTGCAGGTTCCCCTTCCTACACTGCCAAGCCTGCTGGAGGTGATGGGATCAACCACTATGGTAGTAGCAAACATTTTTGAAAGTATAGGGTTCTGGGAGATGATGGAACCTGTGTGATATGTATGCAGAAAGCCATTTCTGGAATTATTTATTGTTTATTAGAATATGCAAATCCTTTAACCTTTAATGATTTAATCAGAAATAATTACAAAAGTCTTACCAAGATTTAATGTAAATTTTTAATAAAAGAGTTGCCACTAAAAGTTACGAATGCCTGAGTGTCATTTAGGGATAGAATGACTCTAACATTAATTTCACTCTCACTGTACAGCCTCCTCCACATTAAAGAGAAATTATTCATTCATTTGAGATATTAGCTATATTAAATGAATGAAATGATACTACCTGGAATCTAAAAGGGAATAGATATATTATTTAATAAAAGTCACAAAATTTACAAAGCCATGCATATACCCCTAGCATATTATGTAGAAGTATCTTAGCCCACCTGAGACAAGCTAATGCAAAAAACCTTTCCCTCTCCAACCCCTCCTCCTCTCAAATAACACCTGTAATGCTGGAAAATAACTTGCCAATCTTCAGCACAAAAGTTAAAGATAAGTAGGGAGATAAATACAGAGGCAGGGTAAACAAAATTTTTCACACAATTCAAGAGCAAACTCTAGGATGTTTTTAACATACAAATTTAAGCTTCAAAATTTTTATACAATAGGCTTAGAAACCTACTCATGAGCCTAAATGCAAACATGAACTATCTAAGGAAGGTTCTGTTTTAGGTACCTATCTCTTGAATTCACAAAACTTTCTGAATAATTATGATTCTTTTCCTATTTAGGAATTTGGGACTGAGGCAAGTATTTTATGCCTGGAACCCATGCGTAGGCCTAGCTCAAGCTCTGGGCCTGGTGATAGACACATAGCCCACTTCTCAAGTAAACAAGCATCTCCTTGACATATTACTCTGCACAATCATTCACGGTAAATTTCCTTTACATCATAACAGATAATCCAGGATAAGTCTCATCTGCAATTTTCCTAATTTATAAGGTATGGTCAATGAATAGAAAGCAGACTCATACATTCTATGCAAAAAAGTGAATCAGGTAAACACTGCTAATTAGGACATCTGATTATTACACACTTTCATTATGCAGTATTTCCTATATGACTTAAACCCAATTGGATTAAAGTATCTCAATACAACTGAAATAAGTTAATGCAAAGCCTTTCTCCAGGCCCTCTTCTCATGACCCATGTATTCTTTCCCCTAACTTTTTGAACTCCTGTTGAGGTACAATTAACAATGAAAATTGAATACATTTGCTGTGTAACACATGTTTTCACACATGTATATATTGTGTTATAAATAATTATACATGAGTTAATAAACTTATTTATCCATTATTCTCAGTTATCTTTCTGTGTGGAGAAAATACTTAGGATAAATTCTTTGCATAAATTTCATGTACACAATACAGTATTGCTAATTACAGTCACCACTATAAATCAGATCCCCAAAACTTATTCCCCTTATAACTCTGAGTCTGAAAACTTCTCAAGTTAATTTTTGATTTTTCACTCCATCCAAGGATAGTTAGAAATAGTAAATGAACCCAATAAATTACTTGTTCTAAATTATTTTGAAAGGACTTAAATGGAATGTTTTGAGTAAGTGTACTGCATACAATAATCTCTGATTATATTGTATCACTTACCTCAAAAGAGGACTGATATATAAGCAATGTATGCCCAATATTTATATACTGCTTTCTTTATAACACAGCATGAAATATCATTAAATAAATATAAAACTGATTTCACAAGTGTTTTCAAAATGTTATTCATTCATTCACTCTTTCAAAACAAAAATCTGTGTGGAACAGATAAACAAGTGGGGATTAGAGATGGAGGCATCCTCAGAGGCCTCACCTGTCGAATGATACTCTTCACACAACGCACTGGGAGGCCTTGATAGTTGGACTTGATGATCCACTTGAGGAGGTGGTGACCAAGCACTTCAAAGACCATGCAGACATCTGGGACATGGTTAAGGATTGTTTGTGGATGCATTTCCTGGAATATGGCAATTAGTGAAAAGCAAAAGCAGAAGCAACAGCATTCTGTCATTTACAACACAGTTATTTGCTCATAAAACACCACAATAATAATATCTGTAATACCAAAAGTGGTCAGTTGAGGTTTCTTACCTAAATAAAGACAAGTGGTAATATTTATTATGTGCCATACATTATTCAATATGTACTTTACACCACCTCAGGAAATATATAATTGTCCCCACTGTGGAAATGAAGATATGTGTCTCAGTACAAAGGTGGCCAAAGCAGATTCTAGCCCAACCTTCATGGTACTCTCCTGTCCCCACACTATTCTCTCAGCACGTACAGAGGAAAAAGAAAATGGGTCAGACTGAAACCTCACAAGAACTGATGTGGAAAAAACAGAATTGCAGGGCCCTAAGAGTCCTAATTGCCTGCCTAAACCTCTAATGAAGGAGGCCACAAATAATACATTATCAAATAGAAATTTACCAAACACCAGGTGCAGTGCACATACCTTTAATCCCAGAGCTTGGGAGGCTGAGGCAGGAGGATGAAAAGTTCAAAGCCAGCCTTAGCAACATAGCGAGATCCTGTCTCAAAATAAAATATTAAAAAGGGACTGGGATGTGGTTCAGTGGTTAAGTGCCCCTGGGTTTAATCACTAGTATTAAAAAAAAAAAAAATGAGAGAGAGAGAGAGAGAGAGAGAGAGAGAGAGAGAGAGCGCTATTTAATATTTTTCTTCAAAAATATCTTTCATTGCATAACCAGATCCATTTAAAAACTATAGGTAGCTGTTAAGAATGTATGATTACAATTTAAGATAGAGTATTAGGACCATTCTGCAATAATGAAAACTCAGAAATCAGAAGCCCTTCAAATTTTTTAAAAACCACTTAACAGAGATACGACTGACATATAAAAAGTTGTATATATTTAATATGCACATCTTAATGTGATTACAGATCAGTATACACCTAGGAAAACATGACCACTAAGATAATAAAGGTATACAAAGGAAATGAAATCAAGATCTCACACAGGTATCTGCAGTCCTATGACTACTGCAGCACCACTCACAACAGCCAAGATATGGAACAGCCCACATGTCCAATGATGGATGACTGGATAAAGAAGATAGGGCACATACAACATAACATTCCTCAACCACTCCAACAAGTGGATTTTGAAAATCAGAGTTTCTACTAACCACTGACTCTTCAAAACTATCACCCACCAATTTCCCATACAGTATCTTTATGCCATTCCATGAGAAGGTTTTAAACTGCCCTAAAACCCTTTGAGAATATTTTGATCATCATTGGAGGCTTACAGTAGGCTTCATTATTTAAAAAAATAAAATAAGTTAGCTGGGCACGGAGGCATACGCTGTCATCCCAGAGGCTCAGAAGGCTAAGATAGGAGGATTCCAAGTTCAAGGCAAAAGCGAGGCACTAAGTGAGACCTTGTCTCTAAATAAAATACAAAATGGGGCTGGGGATGTGGCTCAATAGTTGAGTTCAATCCCTTGTACAAAAAAAAAAAAAAAGATAAGCTGATTTAATATTTTTATACGATCAACCACATGATCATAATAGCTATTAATTATTTTCAGTGAAAAGAAGAAAAAATGTTTTCTTCTCTTGAAGAACTTATGTACTACAGACATATGCAAAGATGATCTAAATCCAGCATTTCTTACTAGTTCCCAGTCTTATTACAAAAATGACAAACTAAGAATTAAAGTTAGTAGCAGACATATGACCCAAGTCTTCTCAAAGCATTGGTAATACATAATGATTTCTTAGCATTTTATTTACACTAAACATAGCCAATTTTCCTTTCTTAAGGAAAATTCTATTTACCTACAAATCAGGTAGTTTCTCCAAAGAAACCCTCTCCCTGTTTGTGGTCTCAGGAATAACCTTATGGGTCTGGCACAGAGTAAGCTGCTATCGTGCCCTTAAACAAACAGGCTACAGCAGGGACAGAGAAATCCAGCACTACTTACCCACCTATTTACTAGAAAAAAAAGAAGCTCAGTATTTAGGAGAAATGGTCTTGAGGCAAAGGCTAAGCTATTAGCAGTTTTTTCTACTTTCCAGTATCTAAATACAGTTTCTATAAATAAACAAAGGTTTACTCCAGCACATAGAGTGACAAAGTACTTCCCTACAGGATCATGACTAAGTAGACGCAGACACCAATGTCATTCTGGGATTTAAGCAGGGAGATGACCTGTGCCTGAAACTTCTGGAGCTTCAGAAGGTCAAGTAATAATTTACCGGAACTGTTCAAATACAATGTAAATGAAAGAGCAAAAGATCTGACATGAGAAGACCTTAGCTCTGATGTACCCTATAGGACTCATCAGCTGGTACTCTAATTGAACATCAGGAAATGAAAGCATCACCCACCACAATTACGCAAAGGGCATCTCAGAGGATCCAACATGAAAATAAGGACAAAGTCTTCTGGAAACAACAGGAATTATCTCCTCTCCATTGTGCTCTTCATCTTTGAGCTACATGCTTTGGGAAACTTTGCTCTGTGTCGTTTGCCCGCAGGGCTGCCTTTTTCCCAAATTACCAGGCAAAGGGAGAGGGAAGAAAAACCAGCATCTCCTTTCCACAATCCCAATCACTTAATCCTAGATCCCTCAAAACCAACAGGTACTTGAACAACTGCCATCCTCACAAGAGAAAGAGAAATCATGCTTGGCTTAGCTATGTCTTCTGGATGTACACATTTATTTTCTAACAGGATCTAGAATGAGAATGAAGGCCATCCTTTCTAAAAGGCAACAGGAACATTTAATCAGGAGCTAAAGAAGAAATTATTTCATCTTTCAAGAACAATACTTTCTACCAGGATAATTTCTTTTGGAGAAAGCAGATATTCTTGTAGTATTTTCCAAGAAAGAGAGAAGAACTATAAATTAAACAAGTTAATCTTAAATTACACAACTCAATTAAGTGGGTGAAAACTTAAAAGAACAATAACTTAGGATAAAATAACCTTGTCTCTGGAAGTGTGATTCAAGTCTTTTTTTAAAAAATATTTTTTGTAGTAGATGGACACAATACCTTCATTTTATATTTATATGGTGCTGAGGATCGAACTTACATGTGCTAGGCAAGCACTCTTACCAACTGAACTATAGCCCCAGCCCCTGCTACTGCTATGTTTAATTTAAAATATATTTACTTTATGTGTGGTCTAGTGAAGGTCTTTTAAAAAGTCATTTTTGAGGGCTGGGGTTGTGACTCAGAGGTAGAGCATTTGCCTAGCATGCGTGAAGCACTGGATTCGATCCTCAGCACCACATAAAAATAAAATAAAGGTATTGTGTCCACCTATAATTAAAAAATAGATGTTTAAGAAAAAAAAAAAAGTCATTTCAGGCACATGCCTGTAATCCCAGTGGCTCAGGAAGCTGAGGCTGAGGCTGAGGCAGGAGGATCACAAATTTAAAGCCAGACTCTGCAAAAGTGAGGCACTAAACAAATTCAGTGAGACCGTGTCTCTAGATAAAATGCAAAATATAGTTGGACATGGGGCTCAATGGTGGAGTGCCCCTGAGTTCAATCCCAGGTACCTTAAAAAAAAAAAGTCATTTTTGCACATGGTGGTGCATGCCTATAATTCTAGCAACTCGGGAGACAGAGGCAGAAGGATGGCAGGTTTGAGGTCAGCTATAGCAATTTAGTGAGAATTTAAGCAACTCAAAGAGACTGTGTCTCAAAATAAAAAGGCTGAAGATGTAGCTCACTGGGTAAGCACTCCTGGGTTCAACTCTAGGTATAAAAAAAAAGAAAGTCATTTTTGCCATACCAAGAAAATTTGAATGAATTTTATTCAGTGAGTTTTATGGTCATGTTTAAAAAACCAATCCACATATTTTTACAAACTGCACACTGACATTTATGTAGGTTAAAAAAAAAAAAAAACACATGACTTCTAGGATTTGTTTTAAAATAATTCAGCAAGAGAGAAAGGCTAGATGTAGAAATTAGYGCCAGACCTTAACAAACACTGAATCTGTGTACTGGATTTTCAGAAATTCACTGTACTACACTCTCTGCTTTTATGTATGTTTAAAACTCTTCATAATTAAAGCTTTAATAGAAAAACACTGGAGATCTAATCCATTTACCAATTACTACAGAAAATGTTATCACTTTCCTTTTACCAGGCTTTTGTAAAGCAGACAAACTGGAGGGAAAAGAAAGAAATCAGGGGCTCAGGATGTAGCTCAGTGCTAGAGTGCTTGCCTACTATGCAGGAAGCCCAAAGTTCAATCCCCAGAACTTGAAAACCAAATACACACATCAAAAATAAAAAATATCACACCTTCCACATTCACCAGCAGGAAGATTATACTCTGCAGGAAGAACTAATTGAAAGTCTCAGCTGTATCACTCTAGAAACAGAATTCAGAGTTATTAGGACTAAACAATATCAATATCACTTGAATGCAACTTTGGGATATCAGCATTAAAGTAGCATTTTTCCTCTTACTGCGTAAGCAAATACATTTCAGCCTCATGCAGTACTTTGTAGCTATTGGAGCACACATACATGCCCCCTGTACACTGGTTTTAAAAGGTTTAAAGCACAAAGAAGTGCTGGCACACACTTCCACCAACCACTGCAAAAATAAAGTTCACCACAATTACTGAAGAAGAAATAAAACAAAACAAATTCTGTTAAAAAACCAGGCCAAGTTTTGCTATTTCTTTTTTTCACTGCCAAAGACACTACTATACCAAAACCACTAACAGACCACACTAGATGTACTACTTATTAGACTTCGCAATAATTTTAGAGGCCTAATGTGGAAGGATGCAGCACAAATAAAGTCTACAAAAACTTGATATAATCTTTTATTTTAAAGTAAGAAGAAAAAAAGTACATTATAATTCAGTCTACAAAAAGCAAAGGATAGGGGGTTGGGGTTGTGGCTACGTGGTAGAGCATTGCCTAGCATGTATGAGGTACTGGGTTTGATTCTCAGAACCACATATAAATAAATAAAGAGCCATTGACAACTAAACAATATTTTAAAAAAAAAAAAAAAGGATAGGATAGGGCCGGGGTTGTGGCTCAGTGGTAGAGCGGTTGCCTAACATGTGTGAGGCCCTGGGTTTGAGTCTCAGCACCACATATAAATAAATAAAATAAAGGTCCCTTTACAACTGGGGGGTGGAGGGGGGAGCAAAGCATAGAGCTGAGAGCAGTGGCACATGCCTGTAATCCCAGTGGCTCAGGAGGCCAAGGCAGGAGGATTGCAAGTTCAAATCTAGCCTCTGTATAAAAGTGAGGCACTGAGCAATTCAGTGAGACCCTGTCTCTAAATAAAAAACAAAATAGGGTTGGGGATGTGACTCAGTGGTCAAGTGCTCCTGAGTTCAATCCCCGCGCCCAGAAAAAGCAAAGGATACGTATCCCATTCATGCCTGATATCTTGAAGTCATCAATGAGCTGGACCACCATGTCTTTGTTTGGGTCACTAGGATCACTTTCTCGAACCTATGTAAAGAAAAATGGACACAAAAACAGGAGTTTGAAGTGGAGAATTTTTTCCATTAGGCCAACCAACAAAGTGATATTTTTCAAATAAAAGATTTGGTACTGGAACTAACAACAACAACAAAAAAAACAGATTCTACTTCAATTTAGTATCAACAAGAAGAATCCCTTAAGTAAAATTTGTCATTTATTTTTCTTACATTATTCACATTTTTCCAGTACTTACACATTTGAGCAATTTTATTTCATCCAAGGCTGTCTCTGTATAATGCTGGGCACTCTTTACAACTTTCATTGCAACAAATCTTTTCCCCCTTAAAAAAAAAAAAAAAGCATAGTAATTTATATTATCGGCATAAAAGGTGATGATTACAACAAGATCTATCCAATAGAGAGGCTTCTGATRAGTTTTCTTCTAAAATGGTATTTTGCAAATTTGGGGACCACAATTAATAGGGCATCCATGCATTAAAGACAATTTCTTTCATGCTTTTGTTTTTTTCTTAACTAAAATTGAATAGACCAGGAAAACGTCAGAGTTATCTATCACACAATAAGGAAAAGTATTCCTGTGACTCTTGTTTCAGTTCATATACACACACAAATACATGTGTATATGACCTGAGCAGCAATTAAGTTTCTTACTATTGATCATGGCTGGCGCGCACGCATTCATATTCTCATATTCTTTCTTTCTCTTTCTCTCTCTCTCTCTCTCTCTCTCTCTCTCTCTCTCTCTCTCTCTCTCGTACTGTGGATTGAATCCAGAGGCACTTTACCACTAAGCTATGTGCCCAAACATTTTAATTTTTATTTTGAGAAAGGGTCTTGCTAAGATGCCTAGACTGGCCTTGAAATTGAAATCCTCCTGCCTCAGCTTCCAGAGTTGCTGGGATTACGGGTATGTACTACAGCACCCAGCTGGATCATGGCTTTTAAACCTATGTCACAAAAACTAATTTGAAAAGCCTACACATTATTAATTTTACATCTGAATGCTTTCTGATATGGATAATTTACTAGAAAAGTAACATGCCCCTGGTGAAAAGCAATTTTGTGGAAAAAGCTTTAAAAATAGAGAAGAAAGTTGGTATTTTCAAATACTTAACTTCATAATAAGAAAAAAAATCTAGCTAGCTGAAGTTACAAGCCTGTTACATGCTATAACATAGTAAGAATAACGTCAGCTACATCTTCTTAGGAAAAGGATATTGAATAGACCAGGAATCAAGTGCAAAAACGACAAAGAGCACTTACTGCATATCCCAGCACAGCCAGACAGTGGAGAAGTGCCCCCATCCTAGCTTTCTAATAACATGATACCGACCATTGAAGAGGTCTCCAATTTTCACCGGATGATAGCCACCTTAAAAAAAAAAAAAAAAGAAAGAAAAGAAAATTCAGAATTCCAGGAAAATAGTACTATTTTCATTTCTTCATCAATTCTGGATGTCAAGAATGACAGGTCTGAAATAACAGCATCATTAAAATGTTTAAAATACATTTTTTCAGGATTATCTTCCATCATCAGAAAAGTATCTTGTGAATTCCCATTAGGCTTTTTAGCTAATTTTAATAAGAATTTTGAAGGGCAACAAATCATCCAGTACTCCCTAATAATAATAATTGAGGTTTTGTTTTTAAGTCAATGTATGTACATGTACACACCAATTCTTGACATTTATAAATGACTTTTCTTCTAAGTTATAAATCACACTCAATTATTTTTGCATCTGTACAAAGTTCAGGAAATTAAAGGATGTTTACTCTGCATAAATTTGTATACACCAACCATTTTCCTATATCCAATAAGTAATGGTATAACATACATGTTAATTTACCCTCCAAATGGCTTGTTCCTCTTATTACTCTTCCTCCAACCTGAAACTTTTGCATGGAAAAACATTCTTTAGAAGTGAGGAAATCAATTGGCAAAGCAAGACTGGTACCCTATTCTCAGTGAACTTTTTGGGGAGGTAAGGGTGCCTCACTGACATCTGGCATAGAAAGTCCTTCACTCTGAATTTTCAAGTATAGGTAGTAGACTACAAAACAGAATTATAATATGGCATCAATTCCACGAAACATATAAAGAACAATCTAAGAGGATATTAATATTACCCCTTGTTATAACATTACCCCTTGATATAAAATTAATTTTATTCTCTTTATCTACAGTTTAATCATCTTGTTTCCAAAACAAACAATGCTCTTTTAGTCTTAAATTTGATTTTTACTATGAAAACATTAGTGTTCTCATATTCATATTCTCTCCTCCCTCTTTCCCACACCATTTCTTCTTTTATTTTTGGCAGTGTTAGGGATAGAACACAGGGCCCTATGCATGCTAGGCAAGCATTCCATCACTGACCTTCACCCCCGGCAATGATTTTTTATTTTTTTAATATGCAGAATTCCCAAATCACTCAAGAAAGATATGAATGGTTCGTGCCTAGTGCTGAGAGGCCGAAACAGGTGCAGCAAGTATGCAAACTACATTTTTCAATAAATATTTGTGAACTCCCAGAGGGCTCTGAGTTACAATTCAATAAATACTATCAATATTTTAAAAGTGGCAAATTAATCAAGCAGGAATTTGGACACTGAATTTCTAAGATTCTTACTGCTATGAATATTGTATTTGCTTTTCCTGGATTTTAACATCAAAATCTGTAACAACACTGTAAACTAGAACTATGATATTAAGTCAGGAATAAAATAGAGCAAATTATCAAATAGCTTATTACTTAATTTTTGTTTAATTCTCTAAGTAATTGAAAGATATGGTCTCTGGATTTCTAGTACAGTTTTTAAACCATTAAAATTAACAACTCAAAAGGAGAAAAGAAAGTTAATGCTTATCAAGTATCAATTAGAAAAGGAACATTGTACTAGGCACTTTATTTTGAAATCTGTGTTCCAAGAAACAAAAGTGATTTATGACATATTACAACTATTCCACACAGGACTGGTGTGGGGAGGGAGGGAAGGAAGGAAAGAAGGAAGGAAGGAGTTGGGAAATGAAAAGTTAAACAAAGCAAAGCAGATTTTTTTCACCCCAGGCCTAATGTCTTAACATTCTTTTTGAACCTCTAAGAGCACAGGGCACATATTGCACATGCTACATGTTCCATACATATTTGCTCAGGAAATGACTTCCAGTTAACAAGCTTTTTGGAACATGGTATTGCAGGAAACAGTGATGTCTATCTTATTCAATCCTTACATCCACCCTGCACACTAGATGGTATTCTTTCCACATTGCTGCAGAATGTCAGAGATATTAAGCACTAAGTTGGACACAAGGTGGGAAAAAAGGCAATTCCAAAGCCCATGGTTTTTTTGCCCCTAGTAAGAAAGGCATTCCATGTTTTAATTACTGGATGACTGTTTTCTAGACCTGATACACAGGGAACACTGAATGGCTTACTTAAAAAACCACACAGTAATGGGCTGGGGTTGTGGCTCAGCGGTAGAGCACCCACCTAGCACGTGTGAGCCCTGAGTCTGATCCTCAGCATCACATTAAAAATAAATAAATAAGTAAAGGTATTGTGTCCAACTAAAAAAATAAATATTAAAAAAAAACTACACAGTGCTAACATTAACATCTCGAGACTTGAAAATAAGTTAATTATTTTATAATTTATATTTTATAATTTTTTTCTGGATACAAATTAAATTTATTACATACATTCTATGTAGTAGAGCTGAGCAGAACTGAGTAGTTAAAAGCAATGTAAATGTAATTTATTTATTTATTTTTTGATGCGGGCTTTTTAATTAATTTATTTATTTATTTTAATTTTTATTATTAGTTGTTCAAAACATTACATATAGTAGAGGATAGGAAAGGCAATAGAATACAACAGACACTAGTATGGCAGTATGTAAAAACGTGGATGTGTAACCGATGTGATTCTGCAATCTGTATACGGGGTAAAAATGGGAGTTCATAACCCACCTGAATCAAATGTATGAAATATAATTTATAAGTTAATTGTGCATAAAGAGAAGAAAGCTCCGTCACTAGTATGTTTCAGATTCAAGTTCTCAAACAGCCAGTGTGTTCTTGTGAGAAAAAAAAAAAAAAAAAAAAACCTCAGAAAAGGCACCATCTCCACTGTAATCACTGCAGAAGTGCAGCAGCTCCTTTTCTCTATGGGATCTCAAAGTTGAACAAAAACAAATTACTAGTTCAGTCCAGTATCTCTGGAGCCCACAGGCAGCTAAAATACTGTCTCTAAAAATAGGCCAACCAAACAAGAAGAACACAAAAGTAATTCTTAAATACAAAGATAAAAAATGAATGAAAGTACAAAAACATTTAGTTGACTTTTAATTTTGAAAATATGACATATATATTATCAGATCTATATATTATATATTCTCATATCCAACTCCTTGATTTCTATAGAAATCAAGACTCTCTCATGACCATTCAACTCTCACTCCCTTGTAACAGAATGATAATCTTTTTTTTTAAAGAGAGAGAGAGAGAGAGAGAGAGAGAGAGAGAATTTTTTTTTAATATTTATTTTTTAGTTTTCGGCGGACACAACATCTTTGTTTGTATGTGGTGCTGAGGATCAAACCCGGGCCACACGAATGCCAGGTGAGCGAGCTACCGCTTGAGCCACATCCCCAGCCCACAGAATGATAATCTTGCCAACAGGGCATCTATTCTACCTAACAAAAACTATGCTATGAGAAGAGAGGAAGTATGTCCCCACCCAGCAGACCCACACCAACCCAACTAACACCTGGGGAATTCAAGAAAATGGACACTCCAGTAATTCCATCAGAAACTCCTCCAGTTCCCTGTGTTATAACAGCCATCAGCAGCCATGTCATTGCCTACTGCATTGTCTAGCACATAAGGAATCTTAACAGTCAAACTGGACAAAGACCCCAATCACTCTTTGGTTCCTTTTGCTGTTTCATCAACTGACAGAAAAGGAATATAGGAAAACAACAGTGCTACACACAGACCCTGCTAATGGCATGAAGCAGAGTACCAGAAATGCTCAAATACTTGATGATTACATGACTCAAAGGTTTGATTGATTCATCTGTACTACATTATTGTATTGTTTAATGTGACATTTATCACAAGTTTTTCTCTTCTTAAAAACAAATCTTAGTTTGAATTATAAATACAAAGAAAACAAAATACACTGTTAAAAGTATCATTAATTTCATTGCTCTGTTTTTTTTTTCTAATCTAATCCCTCCAGTGCACCCAAGAAAACTATAACTAAAGCTCTACCTATATATACATAGTAATAAGACTCCAAAGAAGACAATTCTAAAACTTACCTTCTTAGCTATTTTGGGAGACATGCTGGCCAAAGATAAAGACAATTCCCTTTTCCTTGCAAAAAATATATTCTATTTATAATAGTAAATCAGAAGTTTAGAATTCCATAATAGACAGTAGTATGGAAGGATTTTCCGAAGTCTATTTTTCTACTAAAAATATTATTTATTTTTATGCTGACACAGTTTCTCAGCCTTCCAATTGTAGGGTGTCTTTAGATAACCACTGAAAACTTTCTAAGGGCTAAGGAAGGATTTCAAAAATCAACCCTATGGGGCTAGGGATGTGGCTCAAGCAGTAGCGCACTCACTTGGCATGCGTGCGGCCCGGGTTCGATCCTCAGCACCACATACAAACAAAGATGTTGTGTCTGCCGAGAACTAAAAATTAAATATTAAAAAAATTCTCTCTCTCTCTAAAAAAAAAAAAAAAAAAAAAAAAAATCAACCCTAACACACAAGTCTTATTAAAAAGGGATGGTGAAAACAAACTTGCTTATAGTAAGGTAATGGACATATTCTGTGTCACTTAAGATTTTAATATTCCTCCTCAAAAGTATACAAAAAACCCATTAGGGATATGAAAGATTTGAACACACTACCAACCAACTTGAGGTTTACAGAACCTAACATTTACAGAACACTATACTCAATAACAAACACTTCTCTCAAGTGCATACAGAATATTCAGATAACATACTGGGCCATGAAACAAGTCACAAAAACAGTGTTCTCAGTCCATATAGAACTAAGTTAGAAAGCAATGAGAAAATTAACCAAAATTTGGAAACTTATTCAAAATAATTCATGGGCTAAAGAAAAAAATCATAAAATATTTTTTCACAAAATGACAATGAAAACTCAACATATGTCAATCTACGAAACACTGCTAAGGCAGTACTCAGAGGAAAAATTATAGCATTAAATGCCTACAATAGAAAAGAAAAGCCAGGCATGGTAGTACACACCTGTAATTCCAGTGACCCAGGGGGCTAAGGCAGGAGGGTCACAAGATTGAGGTCAGTCTCAGAAACTTCACAAGATTTT